TCTCACTCTGTGTCTGTACAAATGTACAAATCGTGCGATCCCTGCTTAACAGCTTCTTTACAGCGTGTTCACTACTACTAGTGATAGCAGAGCGTAATTTGCCGGCGCAACTATGTAGGATAGTTTTAGGCAGTGGTATGATAGATTCTATTGTGAATTCCTTGGTAAGATAAAATACCGGAAATTAGTTTGAATAAATCAGCTGTTAACCTTGGGATATTTCTATACGAATTTCTGCAGAGCACCTACCGGGTGTGTGGTTTGTACTTGATCTGAATGCTTAAATTAAATAACACACCGATTTGTTTCTGAGTATGCTCCTAATTCGTGACACATTGGGCGCGTTCATATTGTCTAACCGTATACTGTTTGTCCTAGAAACGCACAGTTGAGTAGTTCCGCTAAGTTCAACAGTTGCCAACTTTCCGCCATTTTTCCATCGTACAATTTTTTCGCTACCTGAACTCAACGTGTTTCGCTCAGCCTAAACAGATGATCGAAAAGGTTTACGCCGCATATATTAAATGTACCCTGCTCATAAATGGAGAGTCAGCCCTTAATAAAAATATTATGTCCTGGCTATATAAAATATAACTAAAAAGTTCAAAATAAAATAATGTAAAAAAATATTTTTTTAAAAACAAGCTTTTATTTAACATGTACAACCAAAGTGATCATAGGTGCAACTACTTTCTTCGAAGCTCCGTATGTTGCCGTAGGTTGCACCAATGTATTTTCAGTGTAGGCCGAGAAAATAAATAAAGCCACGAAAAATTAATTCTTCGTCAAATATGTGTTTGATTTATTAATTATGTATGTATACACATATACAAATGTAAGGTGAATACGAAATATTACCTGTATGGTGTGTGATGAAGGGTGGTGGCTGATAGGCGTCCGTGCTCTATTAAGTGAAAAACTGGAATGCCCGCGCTATTTGTTGACAGATTTAGCCGAACCCTCAAACAGCGAGATGTGCTGAGGGGAAATTTGGCTAATTCGTTATAATAATTGGCGGGAAAAATAATGCAATTATTTATATGCTCATATTCGTATGTATGTATATATCGGTGTGTGTATGCACATGAACATTAGGGTGGTTCACCCTTTTCAAAGTTGTGTCTAGTGGCCTAAACACAAAGGAATAAAATAAAGTAGTGTAACAAAAGATTTTTTAGCATGAAAATTTTGTCAAAACTGCACTAAAATGATTAAAATAAAATAAGTTAAGGTCTCGTTAAAGCTATTAAAAGCCATTTAGTGAAAGGAGTTACTCAAACTCTAATGAAAATTACTAACAATTTGTACTAATTTACTTCGTTTTTAAAAAAGCTTGTCGGTGAATTCAGCATACATGCATAATTGGTTAGGTATGTATATGTATGTATGCAGATATTTAAATGCCGGTTTGCTATTACAAATACAAATATTTAAAAATCTTTTTAACGGAATCGTAAAAATGAGATTTTTGATGCTGTTTTTTTACTTTTTTTCAAAGATTGATTTACGAGAGACTTGAATAACTGGGCGAAAACTATTCTGATTTAGACTTATGCGATCTCAGTAGAAAGGTATTTCCACTGTTTTTATTTGTGTCCAAAAAAAGTCATTCGTGTCCCTTTTTTTCAAACACCACCACATCTTCATTCAACTTTGAATGACGTTCGTTCATCCTACCTTTCTCTTTCATCCTTTGAATGAGTTTATAAAAAGGGTGAGAAAATACCGCAAATTTATTTTAAGCTCTCGTATGGTGACAATTGTCAGTGTTGTTGTTATGACCTACTGCGTACGCGACAACGGTGAAACAATGTTAATACATACATACATATTGTGTTTTAGGCGCAATAATTGTGACAATAGTCATACGATGAATTTTGTCAGTGTTATGGGAATAAGGCGGTAAATCGGAACAGTTTAGGTTCAGATATTCAATTTTTAAACCTTTTCGTATTCTCCACACTCTTGTAACCGGTAAATTTTGTTACCACCTCATGAGCAGGTAACAAAATATTGCCCCGTGAAATATGCAATACCAGAATTTCAACAAAACTCCATAGCTGAATTGCTGAATAAATTAAAACGTTACCAAGGTAAATAGAATTGCGGTTGCAAGAAGTGGTGACAATTGTTGGTAACAAAATTAGCTTGTTACAAAATGTTCGGTTACAAGCAGAATAGGCCTGTAATTCTATGCGGAGAGTAACAACAAAAGAAACTTAATTTTGTATATTCTTATTTTAAGTCAAATAAGTATTTAGATCTTAAGCATGAAAAAAATTAATATTAAGTATCTATTTAATTTGCAATAGAATAGAATAGAATGTTTCTTAGTAATTTTCTAACAAAGAAGAAAGTAGACTTAGGATTATTAATTACGAGTATTAACGTAGTTTTTGATGAAGTTTTGTTTTTGTTCAAATTTTTAAAACAGTTTTTGACCTAACCGGTGAGACCTGCCCAATCTTTCAAGGGCTACGAAAGGCGTGATGCCTCCCCTTTTCAGCTCCGGTACGACCAATCGACTACGGAATGCTGCGACTCGCAAATTTTATATTTCGAAGTGTTTTATACAGCAAAAAAAAAGGAAAAACCTCCGGATGAGAATACGATCGGCTAGGCGGGCTAACCACATAGATTCACCATTGACTTACATATATGCAGGCTGAGACCCCAAAGGGGTTTTAGTACACCACGTGGGTCGTGATAGCCCACTCACTGAGTTTTATCTCTAGCACACGCTCCTTATAGGTATGTATACATATAAAAATGTTAACTTTTAAAAGTAGTTTTTCTTCTTGTCGGTTGGAACTTTTGTTTTCGATTGACTCCGTTTAACTTTGCGTTAATTTTTCACTCACTCTCCAAGCATAGGAAATCGAAATGGCCTAGCACTGGCATGCTGATCTGATATTGACCAACGGCTTATATCACAATTTCGGGTATAAAAACAAAATACACTCAGGATGACAATAATTACGTTTAGATTTAAGCGAAATGCGCGCTCAGCTATGTAGCAACATGGGCCCTCATCTCCGACTAACAGTGTTGTGAAGCGAAACAATAATGCCTAGCTTTGCAAAACGTTTACTTATGTTTTTGTTTAAGACTATTGCGGCATTACAAGTTTCATAGCCCATTCAATTTTAGTAAAATAAATAAATATTATAATATTATTAAAAAATAAGTAGCCCTAACTGAGTATATAAATACATACATAGTATGTAAACGAATATGTGCTTTGTTTTTTATTAAATAAAAAGTGGATTGTGTTTCATTATAATTATATTCAAGTAATTAACAAACCCGAATATTTTGAAACTGTGTAGTTTTTTATGTAAATATATAAATACATACATATGCATATCATAAGCATTTTTGTTGTTGTCAAACACTGCAGCATAGGAAGTGCGCGGTCAGACATGTATGTACATTTTTTCGCTTTTTACGATCCCGGGATTTTCGGGATGTTGTTATCACAATCCCGGGATTTAGACATTTATTACTTTTGAACAACTTAATTCGAAAAAATTACTTCTACCTCTCCTACCATAAAATAAATAATAAATAAATGGGTTTGAAACCTACTTTTTTATTTTAAGTGGCGCTTTTATTTTTTCTCTCTGACACACTGTGCGTCAGGTAGAAAAAAGTCATGGTGACTGTTGATAAAAAAAAAACCGGTTGGACTTAGAGAGGGAAAAGTAAAAGTCATAAATACCAAATTTTACATTATTTACTCACCCCCCTTCTTCACAAACGATACATTTCCAAAAAATACGGGAATGGGCGCGATACCGACTAATCAGTTTAGTTGCCTTTGGCGATTAACCCATTAAAGAAAGCGTTTCTTATTCAACTGTAATCAATTTTTTAAATGCCGTGGAATATTCAGGTGAAGGTATTTATCATTTATTTGGTACTTTCCATTTTCTTACCGAAAAATTTATTTGAAATGTAGATGCTAAACATTATTAGTAAAAAAAAGTGTGAGTACCGGTCCATCTGGTGGTGAAATTAGACGAATGTTTTAGAGAATTTTATGTAGTTTTCGAATATATAATTTGATCTTTGCGCCCGACTTTGCAACTATATGTAATTTTTGATTTTTAGCTTCTTTTTGCATAATTTCGCGAAAAGAATTTTTCGAACAATGAAAAAATCTCACCAGATATTGGGAAAAAAGCGAGTATTCACACCTAAGTCATTTTATAGTATAACCTTTGTTTTCTGAAAGTGGAAAGCAGGAACAAAAATTACCCAAAATTCCATCACTATTAATGACTGGGCCCACATTTTTTGTGAGTTTTGGACGTTATAATGATCCCCATATTTTATATTTAGGGTTTTCTAATAAAATAAAGACTACAAACTAAATTTCATCGAAATCGGATGAGATTTAATATTTCCGCCCACAAGAGTAGAGGGCGTGGCAATTATTCCATCTTTACAAAATTTCATAATTCTCTATTTCTAAGTAAAACTAGAGCACATGTCAAATTTCAGTGAAATCGGTGCAGGTGTACTATTATTTCCACCTGCCTTCATATAGTCGAAACACTGTGTGACGTCAGGATTTATTTTAGAGGACTTTGTAATTTCAAACATATGATTAATTCCAAAACTTATTCAAAAAATTCAATGCAATGTAGAATAAAAGTATGGGTACCAAATAAAAAAAGAAAGTTCTTTAGAATTCAAAAAAATACAAATTTTTTGGCTTCACAAGGACGACTAGGTAATTTTTTAAGCGGATAAAGTTAGAAGGATTTATTTTAAAGGACTTTGTAATTTCAATGATTCGATTAATTCCAAAAATTATTAAAAAAATTCAATGCAAAGTAGAATAAAAATATAGGTACTAAATGAAAGAGGAAATTTCTTTAGAAATAAAAAAATTAAAATTTTTTGGATTCACAAGGACGAATAGGCAGTTTTTTAAGCTGATAAAGTTAGAAGGACGAAATTCGAAAAAAATATTGCGAAATTTCAAGGATCAAATTTTAAAAGGACTTTTAATCTGATTAAGTTCTACAGAATTTCCTCTTTAATTTGATACCCATACTTCTTCTCTACACTGAAAATAAAATCTGCGGAAATGTAACGAAAACTTGCGTAAATCTTGTGAAATTTTTCGTCATTTTGAGCCTCGAAAGTTTTCGTTGATTTTACAAAACCGTTTTCGTACATAGTTCGAAAATATGAGGCATCAGATTTTTAGTACATTTTACGAATGTATTCGTACTATTTACTAACAAATTTCGTACTATTTACTAAAAAATTCGTACTATTTCTTTATTTTTTTTTACAAAATTTTTGTAAAATGCACAGAAATAATTCGTATATTTAACGAAATCACTTTCGTAAAATCTGCGCTTGTTTCGTAGAATGTGCGATTTTGCTTTCATTCTCCACACTGTAAAAAACATATTACGAATTATAACACAACACTTTTATTTTGTTTTTATCGTTTTGTTGTTATCGATGTTAAGCGTTTTTGTTTAACAAAACGTTTTGCAAAAACGCCTAACATTATTGATTAAAATATAATGAAAGAGTTGTGCTATAATTTTAGTCATGTTTTTTATAGTGTTAATAATAAAAGAAATCATACGTTCTACGAAAGAAGAAGAATTTTCTGACTACACTATAGTTTAGAATTAATAAAAAAGGTAATTTTACCTATAATAAAACTTAAGTCTTTTATTTATATGCATAAGAATAGGTTCTTTCTATTCTATTCTTTCTATTTTTTTATTACTTAGGCTTCATTCAATAAAGTATATTGATGCAAAGTGTTAAACTATGAGACTCAACAAAACTAAATGTAATAAGATATAAAATATGAAAGGATATAAAAAATACTGGTTTTGCTTTCTTAAACATTATGATATTTTTATGTAGACGCACTTGACAGATTCGCAGCTTCATCGATGTTTGTTTCCTTGACGACTATAAATTAAAGGAAAATTATAAGGCGTCTGAAAAGCAAGTTTCAGTGAAAAGTCATACATGTACATACTTACTTTTAATTACATTAAGTAGTGCTCCTGGCTAAGGCTTGCCGTTGATAGGTAACTGATGAAATTGCCTATTTATCAAGTCCCACAATGCAGCGCAAGGCGCAGCGTAGGCGATGTT